GGGGGGGGGTTGCACACTGAAGTGTGCAACCGGGTTGAGAGAGGGAGTCAGGCAGGCAGGCTCTGGAGGGCAGTTGCTGGCTCCACTTTCTTTTTTCTTTTTGTGTAAAGACCTCCCCTGTGCTGCCAGGGGGGGGGGGGGCAAAGAGTTATCACAACTGAGAGCAGCTATAACTTTACAGACTTGAAATCACATCATTCTCACGCCCTGGGTCTCTCTTTGGGGGATAAGGTCCCAGATTGTCCACTCCGGGAAACCAAAATAGCTCAGAAATAAAATCCAGATGGATTCAAAGTCTTCCTAGGAGCACCCCTGCACAATACCCAGAAATTCTCCTGTGGGCTCATTTGAGGCCTGATTGCATGAGTGCATATGAAAGCCGCAGGGGTAGCATGGGTTCCCGCTCTGCTTCAGTAATGGGAAGAAGCAGCGGGCTTTAAAACAGACAATGCCGGAAAACAATACATTTCGTTGTGCAAACACTGATGTGGTGGAACTTTTCTGACACTGCTGTGCCTCCCAAACCGGCTCGACAGTGAATGTACATCATTACAGGAAGATAATTACCTTCCAGCATCTTTTGTTGGCTGTTTCTCATGACGTGGATGTTCTCGATGCCGATGAACTGGAATTTAATGTTGGAGTAGTTGTCCTCGTTTTCGTAGCCTTTTCCTGCAGCTCGGTTTGCGATTGCATTCAGCTAGAAAGACATTATTTTCTTTTATTAAAAGCTAATAATAATAATTTAAAAAAAAGGATGGTTCAACGAGCACATAGCCGGGATGTTTTCAGGGCTTGTGCTGTGAGCACGTCCAGCTGGCAAAACGCACCTGAACACACAGCATAGTACTGTAAGACTTGTATTTTCGCAGGCTGTTCCTTGGGCACAAAAGGGCTCACCTTAGGCCTGGTGTCCACCACATACATGAAGTCGCTGCGGGGATTGGACCTCAAGATGGCCTCCAGCATCTGCTCATCCTCCAGGCAGCGAGCGCTGAAACCAGACAGGGGCTGGCTGCTGCGGCAGATGGTGGCCTGGGAGGAGGCAAGAGGCGCTCAGGCTTCATACGGGGAAGTTCACTTGTCTGACATTTTGATTTTAAGTGAATTAATACTTTGGGTCACATTTACAATAAAGGAAATCAAATATGTGAGAATGCGGGTGATTACAAATTCACAGTACTCTTTCTTTCCTCATATCATTTTGTAAATATACACAAGGGAGATGGCTAGAGACCGTTGTGTGGCTCATGAACCAGAGTGGAGCCCCGTTGGACGAACGGAGCTCCACACACTGGACCCTCAACCCTGGGAAGCTGACCTCACACACATAAAGCACTCCCAACTGTCCAGTCAAGGATTAATAGAAGGGTTTATGAATGTTGAGGCTTATTCCCTGATTCAGATGCAGAAAATAGTAATGAGTAACGCTTTGATTTAAAGATAGCATGGACGTCTCCTCATGGGACATTTTTTTTTAACTTGACAAAGTCCCTGTTTAAATATCACGGCTACGAATCTCCTTAGTATGGGACAGGTTCTCTTTCCATTTTGTTTTACTGATGCACGAGTCTCGTACTTTAGTGTTCTTTATTGATATATTTTCAATCTTTAAATATTCAATTTTTTTTTTTAAATCAGTAAAAACTGAAATGGCTAAAAGAATGGAGAATCTGTTTTTGCTCTATGTCTTCATTAACACACAGTCTCATATGGCCCTGTAGCTTGGCTGTGTTGCAGCAGACGTACATTATTAGAAGAAAGCTCTTAACCTGCTTGATCAGTCAGACAGACAATCAGAGGAAATGATACCAAACCAAATAAAGAATCTGAGGCTACTTTGGAGCCATCAGAGCATCTTCAATTGTATTTATTTATTTAAGGCTCAGTACATATATCTGATACATCCAGCAGCAGTGACTTAATGTTTACTTTGAGGGTTTGCGACATTCAAAACGTTTCAGCTTTCTTTTGTGAAACAAACACTTTTGGCTGCTTGATGAGGGAGGATGCTGCTGAGGATGACCGCCCAGTGTCACGGTCATTTCGGCCAAAAACAGAAAGCAAAAAAAGAAGTATTGTGATAATCTTACGTCGTAGTATACGATCTCTTATCTACATTGCCACGTCTGTGACTAAATAACTGCTCTGATAGGCAAGATTCACACCATTCCTGTGCATTGACTCAGTGTGTCTTTGTATTAAGGTGAGCTGTCACAGGAAGCACGTGGAGAAAAAAAAAAAAGGGCACATCTATGCAACTTACATGATTTTCTTTGGAGTAGTACACCAGAGTAGGAAATCTGCCTCTGCTCCTGAACTTGGAGCTCCCCACTATGACCGGAGGCGTGGCGGACTGAGGCACGAACAGGTCAGCGGGGTACGTGTCGCTCACCTTTGAAAAAAATAAAAATAAAAAAAATACCATAAGAGAAGGCTTAAGCTTCTGCCGTGGCCATATTAGGATAAAATAGCACAACTGGTCGTAGATGTCGGCTCACTGACCTTAAAGTGTTGGTTGACAGGGGAACGTTTCCACAGGGAGTTTGGGAGTCCCATTCTGCTGTAATCAGCCTTGAGGTCCAAAAAGTCCCATTCCTGCCGTCTCTCCTCCTCATCGACGTTGGGTTTATAGGAGAAGCAATACAGCTCCTCGCAGCGCTCTGCAAGGCACGACAGTGGCTGACAGTCAAGTGTTGCGAAGGCAGAGGAAATGACCAATACCCGACTTTGAGGCTGCCACTGATACAAATAATTGGGAGTAAACGTTTCTCATAAAAAAAAAAAAGATGTCAGATATATATATATATATATATATATATATATATATTTGTATCTGTTCTTGCACACTTGAGCAATAGCATCACCAATATATTTTCTAAAAGCCCAGTTCACCTGGCTGGGAGAGACGCTGCAGGGACAGGTGGACGTCGTGGCACTCCCGCTCCCGAGGTACGACAAAGTGAAGAACCTGGAAGTTCTTGCAGTGAATGAGCAGAGAACACCCCGAGGCTGTGGCGGCTTGCTTCTCCACACTGCACACCAAACTGTGAAGCACCTGACGGGATTAATGGAAGGCAAACATGGACCTTTTAATGATGCATACATTGACTACATCCAAACTCAGCAAAAAACAAACAAACATGTAATGTCAATCAGTAATGGGCCTGGTATGTGAGGCCTTCTGACAACATCTTCCTTAACATGTACCGTTTGTCCTCACTGATTCATCTCTGGTCCTTCAGTGCGCTGAGCTGTTGCTTACCCAGGTTTCATTGCGCACTCCAGCCTCGTTCTCTACAAAGATGGTGTGCGTGGCTGTCAGGTAGAGGGTGCCCAGCCTACTTCTTCTGGGGGAGACTCTGTCAAGCAGCCTGACATTCTCCACCTGGAGGAGGAAGAGGAAGAGGAAGAACGACCTCAAGCAGCCTCATCGTCAAACACTCATGTGTTAACTGCAGTGATAAGCAAACACACCCCGCCGTTATATGAGGCTGATAGCAGCGGGAGGACCATGACTGCCTACGTGGCCGACACGGCACACACCTTATTAAGACTGTATTTATTTTAATGAATTGTCTGCATTACATCTCTGCAGTCACCGCAAGCGCGTATAACGGTTTGTGTTGAGGTGACACTGGAGGCAGAGTGCGGAAATTGGAGCTAATCACTGCAATCACATCCGCGGTTTACCTTTGGTAGTCGGATGTGCTCCATCAGCAAGCTGAGAGATGAGCCGCCGCTTCCTGCGATCACTGAACCTCTCCCGATACAACTACCAACAGCAGCAGCACAACATGTGTACAGTAGTATTACAATATGCTGTCGGTTAGCTTAAATGCTAACGGCGGTACAGTCAGTAGCGCGCAGGTAAACGCTGCCATAATATTGCGGCTGCCTAAAGGTCCACATATGAGCTGCACTGCTGGGTCCTAAAGCCCGCCTAGTATCAGGCTGTGGCCTAAAATGTCAAAGGGCGTTTAAGGCCGCTGCTGACCAGAGTTACTAATGGTTATGTAACTGAAGTGTTTACGAAAAATAAGTCAATTCAAGACATTTACTGACCTCAAGTCATTTAACCTTGTGTTGTCCTCCCGACTGCCATACCCATGTTGTCCTCTGGGGTCAAAAATGACCCCACCTGGTTTGACTGTTTTTAAAGCATACAGTATAAATTGTCAATCAATTCTGTTTTACACCTTCAGTCTTACTTCAGTCCAACACATTACCACAAATCGCTCCCTTCATTTTGGAATTTAGGGATTTATGTTTACATAAAAGTATACCCTGTTTTTGAGTGAAAATACAATGAAACAATGAATTATTTTGACTTTATATTATTTTTTACTATTTGACTTATCACAGAGAGGTACATATCAAAGTTTAGTGAGGATGCTGTTCTTGAATCATTTGAATTTTTCTAATGGCAGCACATAATCACACCTGTTGTCCTCTGGGGTCAAAAATGACCCCGTCAGGTTTGACTGTTTATAAAGCATACAGTATAAATTATCACCCACCTCTGTGTTTCAACTCCTTAGTCAACTTTATTCCAAGTCATTACCTGACATATAAAACATGTCAACATTCATTTCTGCAACATTTAAGACAAACGCTTCATACTGCACACCTTAACTAAGGTTAATAATAATATATAAAATGTGTTTAATGAAGTAACTAGTGGTTTATTGATAATAAGCTAGCTTAAAATTGAGCTAACCTAATGATGGTGACATTAGCATTGTTCAGAAAAACATGTTCATAGCATACAGAAAGGACAATTTACACCTGTGATGCCAGGTGAAATGCTACGCATCAGTGTATCCTGTACTCTTCACAATAAAAAACATAGCTGACCAATCCAAAACAAATGGTTAGAGTGCAGTCTACACAGTTACAACACTCGCCGGTTAGATTCCAGCTGGGGATCTTTCTTGCATGTCATGCTCCCTCTCTCTTCCCCCTCTGTCTCTGCCTCTTTGCTGTCACTGTACAATAAAGGCAAAAATGCCAAAATAAATCATCTTAAACGCTTTCCCGCTACAGCATTTCTTGTAGGCTGTCGGCAGGAGACATTCAGAGACACAGCTCTTAGTTTTGAGAAAGTAGTGTAGCTGGTCCAAAATGAGTCTGTGTTTTTTTAAGAAACATCCTTATTTGCTCTACATTAGTCTGAGAAGGATAACATTCGTGCAACCAGCACTAAATGTTAAGGGGGGTGTCACAAAGTAGGCACTTTAAAATGTTATTTAAAGGCCACTGTTATTAGATACAGTGTTGTACATTTTGGCACTGAGCATTAAATAAGTGATTGTCACACTGTTAAACAAAGTGTGAAGCTATTTTAAGAATATATTTTAGTTTATCAAGTTCTCCTGACGTCTTTCGTTGTTTTGGCAAGTCGTACCAAATTTCAAATGTAATTTTATATTCAGCAGTATTTTGCACACCAGTGAGAAGAGGAGCCATCTGTTGCAGGACAGTAGGCAGAACAAAAACAATAAAAGTAGTTAGTTAAACTAAGCAGAAGTGATTGACTTACTGACGCCTCACGGCCTTGCTGCTCACCCACTCATTCTGCGCCGCATTCATGTATGAGGACCCAAAAAAAGCTTGATTGTCCAATGATTATAAAAAAAACAATTCAGTTCTGATAACATCACACGGATCAGACAACTCGCCTCTGTTTAGACGAGCAATCATATTATGTGCATTCTACTAATTGAGACAATCCACCCTAGACGACTGAACTGATTTTCAATTCTTTCATGGTTGGTGTCTGTTTTATGACTGGTACTTGTCAAGTAGGTGTAATCGCCTCTTATAAAAAGCCGAAACAAGATATGAAATGATAAGGATAGTGCAGAGGGATGGTTTGAAACCAAATATTTATTGAGGGCTGTAAACTTGTGAAATCCCCCAGTTTTACTTTCAGGCACGTTCCTTGTCACTGTGGAATTCATATTTGGAAGTCAGTGTTTTCCGAGGGACTTGGAGTAAAGCCAGACATGGACATCGCAGATCATATTCAAAGGAATCTCTTATTGTAGCCAAATGTCTCAAAACAAAAGATTGATGGCATTCAATAATACAATACTTTATACTTCTCTGAGATTGTGCCTTGACTCACATCCAAACCTTTGACGAGCGTAGCTTTCTAAATCATTAAAGGTATTTGTATTACATTTGAATTTGATCAAATGTAGTTTTTTTTGTTTTTGTTCCACTACACGAAAAACTGCAAGTGCTGTATGTACGAGGCTTGTACACTGACCTAGATAGAGACAGGAAATCACTTTTAGCAGAGAGTTAGTCTCCAGTGAGGGTGAATACATCCATAGATAATACTCCACCTTCCTACCTAATAAAAAGAGTATTATGTCAAACTAAGGACAGGTAATGTCTTCAGGCTTCATCCCCAGACTGTTCTTAAAATGCAATATGAAGAGACTTTGTGCCGTTCCATTAGATTCAACTTGTAAACCATGGCTAATACTGACCTCCTAAAGAAATGTCTAACCTACTTTTAAAACTTTGATTTTACATATTTTTCCAGTGATCTGCACTGAAACCTGTGTTTTCTGCACTCCTGTCTTTTATTTGACTTTGGTACATCCACATCAACTAGTTACATTCTTGTCAAATCGAAGTCCGAGTATCTCTCTGCCCCAAAGATGCAGTTTTCAGTCTGGAGGTCCCTCTCACTGTCTTGCCTCTTCTCATGGCTGTCGGCTGCCTTATCAGTAATTGTTCACTCTCACATTTCCTGGCGACACCAGTGTTAACTGGAGCGAACAGTGCACAAGGCAAACACCACTCAATCTGTTGACCATAGCCACGTTTTTGAAGCTGGGTCACTCAGTCATCGGAGGGCAAATGCATTCAATTGGCTTCACAGAATTAGTGCATGTCAACAACGAGACACGGTGAGCCAGCGAACTCCTTTCCATCCCTTCCATGGTTACAGTGTCCAGCTGCATGTAGAAAACGCTCACTCCAAAAGCAAGTATTTTCTGTGGTGATATCGAATGTCAGTGCAGCTTTTTGGCTGTATTTGTGTTAAATGTGATAAATGTGTTTAGGAACATGTCTTACAGCAGATACATGTGGGTGGGTGTGTTTAAGACAAACAGCCAGTATTAACAGTAGTGTCTCCAGCCTGCCCACCACTAAGGAAAACATTGGCTTTCCCATCAGCATGCAGGTCAGATAATCAACCCTGCAGCCAAGGTTTGGTGGGCGCTGGGCCGTGATATTTGACTGCTTTGGCTGGATGGACAAACTCAGGGAGAGTTGGCTGTTGTCATGCCGGATTGCACGGTGTTTCTAGCTGCCAGCTGCCACCTTCCCACTGAGGTCTTGAGCTGGTTTGAGCTGGTCTTGGCAGAAATTATCACCACTGCAAACTCAACCTTAGTTATAATTCGCAGGCAGTGTTTGATGGAAAGATGTGCCTTTAAAAAAAAAAAGAGCTCTGTCCCCCAAGAGCTCAACTGAAGTTGCCGTGGAGATGCCAGGCTATTGGTGGTGTACCACATGAGCTGTGCGTTATTGATTTTGTAATGTCCATGGGTCCAATAGCTCAGGGAACATTGAGCAATACCTGTCTTCCATTAGAAGGACTTACCCCCCCCAGGTACTGTAGCTCGTCCACCCTTCATTGACCAATCAGCACCCATGCTTTTAGCAGCACTCCTGTGGACTGCACTGGGTAAACACAAGTGTCTGCCTCAATGTTTGTCAATGCCAGTTGCCTAACCATTTATCAGCAGCCAGTAAGCATCTGGGCAGCTGGGATCTATGTGCATTACAAATTACAAATACTACCATCAAGAGTCCTGCCTTGCTCTTCTCCGTCCCGCTGTGTGTGTGATCTCACGACGAGAGCTCACAGAGTTTTACTCCCCCAAAACCTCAAGCATGGAGGTGGAGCACCCCTCCCACCCTAATCATTCCCCGGGGCCCCCTCCTCCCCTCTTGCCTCCCCTACTCAGGGGTCATCACTCCACTGGCAGCGGTGGGACTGGAGGCTGGAGCATAGAGGCAAGGCGAGGGCACAGTGTATGAAGAAACACTGTGGACAGAAAGAACTGCTCTGCTCAGTGTGCATGCCAGCATATGAATAAGTGTTGAGAGCAGCGCGACAGCATAGTTTTTGAGAGGCAGCAGTTCACAGGAGCAGTGGATCTAATTTGACCTGCACTGGAAGACACTTCTGACAGCCTTTTTTTCCCCTGTGTCTAAACCTCAATCACACATCCACACAGTGTCAGTCTGACAAGGTAGGTGCATGTCTCTAATGAAATACAGTGTTGGGTTTTAATAGTCATACTTCTGCAGAAGCTGGGAGTTGTTTGTGAACTGGCAATATTTGCATAGAAATTCAACATCATTATGTTGAGGTCACTGTGCAATGTAAAAACACATGACATGTATGGAATAGTATAGTACAGGTGATATCTTACCTATATTACCTCAATTTGTTTTGTAAGTTTTCAAAACTTGATCTTCACGTGCTTAAATCTGATTTTGGTCTTTGCAATCTTCACTTTTTCTTTCACTGTATCCTTGAAGATGCTGCTGTACGGCCCACATTGTAATGTTAATGAGCTGTCACATTCCAAACTCATTTTCCTCCACACTTAAATGGAGATCAATGCATATTTGGATGGTCGTCAGTGTTAATTTGCAGTCAAGATAATCAAAGTTTTGGTTCAAAGCAGAAGCTTAATCTTCAAAAGCAAACTAGAAACTATTGTTTGGAGGGCATATTTCATTCTTCATTTATCTTATTGTATTCATGCACAGATGTTCGGCAGGATCCCCAGCAATCATGCTGATGAAAAGGGACATGTTTAAATAAAAGACAATGAAAAACAAAGGCAACTTTGCAGTTCGTCCTTTTTGTCCTTTTTTTCCATGTAATTAGTAATGACAGACATTGAATGTCTAGAGCTGCATTCACGGTCCCCTTATGAATGCAGCTCTTTGAGAGCTTAGATCTGCACCATAATCCCAAACAATGGATTTTAATGGGTCACTTACTGTACGAACGTCACAACTCTTGGCAGCGTTCCTATCATGCACGTTATACTCTAATACAGGGGTCTTCAACGTTTTTCAGGCCAAGGACCCCCAAACCGATAGAGAGATGGAGCAGGGACCCCCGACTATATATATTGTATAAAATTGTGTTTTATATTAAACTGGGCCTAGTGCCATGTATACCTCTTTATTGTGCATTCAATACTAAGCTATTCAAATAATACACAGGTTCATATATTCATGTTTTTACTTTAAACATGTGCAAGGAGCAGGGTGGCCGTGCCACTGCCATTTAGAAACATACCTTGTCAGCTGATACCAATGCCAATATCAACATTGTCTGTCAATTACATGATAAACATGCATACAAGCTATTCAAACTGATGTTTTCATTTTAAACATAAATGTGGAAACGAAAAATGAGTGATGGCCTATTAGTGCCACTGCCATGCATAAACATACCTGTTATCTTGCATACAATACTGAACTAATAAAATAATGGTCACATTCATGTTTTCTTTTTTTTTTATGTAAAAAATTGTAAAAAATTGTCTAATCAACCAAAAATTTCACGACCCCCCAGCAGTACCTCCACGGACCCCCTAGGGGTCGCGGACCCCCTGTTGAAGACCTCTGCTCTAAAGGCTAAACGTCACTCTCAGCAGTCCCCATCCCACCCTTGTTTCATCCTCACATGTTATCCAACTTACTCTTCAGCATTCCTGTCAAGAGAACAAGCTGTCAGAGCCGCTCAAAACGCGAAAGTGGCTGAAGTGCAAACTGCTCCCAGACCTGACCTTTGCTTTCACAAATCAAATATTGATGCTGAGATAAAGAATAGTGATGGTGAGATCAAATCATCTTCTCTATGTGTGTCGCCGTCGAGGCCTTCGTGCTGCGTGCACACATACTCACCCACATGCACATGTTGACTCACCCAATTAAACTATGCAATATATACTGCACAGCATGAATTGCATTAAATACTCATTTAAGTTTGTGGTCTGGCTAGAAGTAAAATGTCTCTCAGACAGAGGCTACACAGGTATTTTCACTTTGAATCTCTCTCCCCCCCCCGTCTGCAGGCGCCAACATGTTGGAGCTGGTCCTGTCATTCAGCCGCTCCCTGGTGCGCAGGAAAGTGGTCGACATGAACAGCCTGGAGGACTCGAAGCTGTGCCGCTGCCTGGGAACCGTCGACCTCATCGCCCTGGGAGTTGGCAGCACTCTTGGCGCCGGCGTCTACGTCCTGGCCGGCGAGGTGGCCAAGGGAGACTCAGGCCCCAGCATAGTCATCTCCTTCTTAATTGCTGCCCTGGCCTCCGTCATGGCCGGCCTGTGCTACGCTGAGTTTGGCGCGCGTGTCCCCAAGACCGGCTCTGCTTACCTTTATAGCTATGTGACCGTCGGAGAGATCTGGGCCTTCATCACCGGTTGGAACCTCATTCTCTCCTACGTGATAGGTGAGTTAGTGACTGTCTTTTAATCATGTGTTGTTCAGAGAAGATGTTGATTCGTTTCTGTTTTTTTTTCGCTTTCTCACAGGTACCTCCTCAGTCGCCAGGGCTTGGAGTGGCACATTTGATGAAATGATAGGAGGGCACATAGAGGTGTTCTGTAAGACCTACTTCAGCATGAACTCTCCCGGTCTGGCTCAGTACCCCGACTTCTTTGCCGTGTGCCTGATACTGCTGCTTTCTGGTAAGGCAGCAAATAAATGCTGAAAATTATAAAATCCATATGTTGCATCAGGGGCTGGTGACAAAGAACGGATAACTCATGCCATCTTTCATGAGCCACAGCTGGCATAATCCAATAAAGAGATGGCACGACCCTATGTGATAAGTGCCTAATAGGCAATGTGAGTCCACTGGGAGACCACATATGCCCTTTCGGTTGTAGAAACTCCCTGAGTCTCCTGCTAGTCCTCAGCAGCACCCCGCTTCTCTTTCCCACAGTCACACACAATCACATCTGGGAACTGCCCACAACTACAGTTTCTTTACAACCTCAGGTCACCGACAAGCTCCACTGTAGCAGCCGAGGATGTATTATTGTCAGTAGCTGTTGACGACTTGCAGAGTACTCCAAATTAATTTCCCGTGGTCAGATTCATGACAGTCCTGGGATTTGAAGTGGACATGACCTTCAGGCTAAAACGGAAACCTTATCATAAAGTATGTTTAATCCATTGGCCTGCCAGTGCAATGATTATGTTAAGTTAGTGCGACCCGCAAGTGTTTGGTTGTTTTTAAGAACCACAGATGTGTAGACCGGATGCAATATCTATTATTCATCACAACCAGATGAAAACAGGATCAGCTACATTTTTTACAAATTCTGTCATGAATGTATTTATTTCACAGAGTTCCGCCAAATTTGCTCTCAGATATGCAACACTTTACATTAAAATAACTTCAACTTTACCTGTAACATGTGCAGTTATTCGATCGCTGTGAAATGCGGTACTGACATCCACACGTACCCCTCACAATAAATTGTAATAACTAGCCGTGATCCTCATTTTTGCTCATCTAAGGACTCCTGTCGTTTGGCGTGAAGGAGTCGGCCTGGGTCAACAAAGTCTTCACTTCAGTCAACGTGCTCGTACTCTTGTTCGTCATTATCTCCGGCTTCGTCAAAGGAGACACGGCCAACTGGAAGATAACTGAAGAATCCCTTATAAATGTCACCATAGTTGCAAGGTAATGCATCCATATAACCATCACAGTTGTGATTTGTAAAAAGGCCATGAATGCACAGCTGTTCTCTAAACAGCTGTGCATTCATGGCCTTTCATGGTCAGCCTGGTTTGTTGTTTCATGACAGCAACTGGACATTTTTAGTCCAATTGTTGCTGTGAAATGACAGTCAATATGTTTCAGGAACTTGTCGGCGACGGCCAACGTGAGCAGCGATTATGGAGTCGGAGGATTCATGCCCTTCGGCTTCAGTGGGACCTTGGCTGGAGCTGCCACCTGCTTTTACGCTTTTGTTGGATTCGACTGCATTGCTACCACAGGTGAGCCATCGATAGGTTGTGATTTAGCGCAATCCCGTCAAAGCCAAATGCAAACACGTCGGTGTGTCTGTGCGTGACAGGCGAGGAGGTAAGGAACCCCCAGAAAGCCATTCCCATCGGCATCGTGGTGTCACTGACCGTGTGTTTCCTGGCGTACTTTGGCGTGTCCGCCGCGCTCACGCTGATGATGCCCTACTACCTGCTGGACGAGAAGAGCCCTCTGCCCATGGCCTTTGAATACGTGGGCTGGAGCCCTGCCAAATACGTGGTCGCTGCAGGGTCACTGTGTGCCCTCTCCACCAGGTAAGCACTGGATCTGCTTTTCGTAAAAATAAGTTGAGGACACACTATCAATATCCACGGTAGACAAAAGCATTCAGATGTGTATTTAAAATACGACTTTGAGTTCTGATTGATGTGCATGCTATACATGGGTGAGGTCAAAAGCTCTGACCACACGTCTCTGTCTGTCTGTCTGATCGGATTGATTCCTGACGCTCAATGGGACATAGTGGGTGCAGTGCTTAATTCTCTCTGTTTTCAGACACCTACCTGTTTTTGTAATATATTATTTCCACTTAGAATATCTTAAAAGAGGTGGGCAGGTTTGTCTAAACAATATAGTGGTGTGACTTCATTCTGTCTTTCTACCCTGAGGGGTTTCTGTATCAGTTCTATGTCAGTGCCTGTAATTGGTGTTCAGGCTGTTACTTCGGGGGTCCGCACCTTTGACAGTTATTTTCCCGATTGTGAAAACCCTTTGACACATATTTTGGTGCGTTCATATGTTTGAACTGCCTCAAGGGCACATCAAATCCCTTAAAGTTCAACTCCTAAACCAGCTCTCAAAACTCAACGAAAATCTACTCGCATGACATCATAACATTTGACTGTTAAAAGACAGTAGTGGTATGTAATTTGCCCTCAAAAGCAGCCATGATTTATTGTATTCATTTAAGTTGATGCAAGTTAATGACTGATGAGAGACGTGCCTACAGGAAAGAAAGACACTTGTTTACTTTAAAAAGGTACAGTTCACCCCAAAATCAAAACCCCAAGCCGAGTGCCAAGCAGTCCCATTATATTGGAGATAAGGTGGACATCTCTCTTTGATTTTGCAGTGAACTGTCCCTTTAAGCATGCTATGACGCTTTGATGATGTGATTGTTGGTGTAAATGTGTGTGTTTCTCTGTGTTTGGGGCTTTTGACTAACGTGTTGGTCTTGCATGTCTCTGCTGTCTCATGCAGTCTGCTGGGCTCCATTTTCCCCATGCCTCGTGTAATCTATGCTATGGCACAGGACGGGGTGCTTTTCAAAGTCTTAGCCCGAATCAATCCAAAGACGAAGACCCCACTTATTGCCACTATGACATCCGGTGTAGTAGCAGGTGAGAGCCGGGGAGAGTCGAGTGAGATCACTCCTGCTAATCTTTCTCCACCAATCAAATGTGAAAGACAGACAAACACGCAGATAATCATTTGGCTCTATTTTATTTTCCGGAAACTTAACCACACTTCAACACTCTCTTCTTTCAGTCCAGTTTTAGGAGGTTTTCCCTCCATACACACATGTTGTTCTTTCACATTTGTGCCGGTGTCATGTTTTCTTTCCCAGAATGCCCTCAACTTAACCATGAACCCTCTTCTCCCTAGCCTGTTGGGCTCCATGTTCCCTCTGCCGCGCATTCTCTTTGCCATGGCACGAGATGGTATTCTGTTCAAATTTATGTCCAAAGTGAGTAAGCGCCAGTCTCCTGTGGCTGCCACCATGGCGGCAGGTACCACTGCGGGTAAGCTCCCGGGATGAGGACTCGCCTGTGGTGGGGTTGTATCGTGGACTTGTTTGGGGATTTTATCAATGCACGTGGTGGTGGTGACTGCATGTTTAAACTTAGTGATGGTGTTTCCAAAAGCATGTGAGGAAACATTACACACTTCAGTAAGGCTGAAAATTAATGTAAATTATTTTTGTCCACGACTCCAGGAAGTCACTGCTCCAGGCCAGGAAATAATCCGACACATAACCCCACAGTAAAAACACTATAGCTGTGTTTCCAATCAGTTGTCAAGCTAATTTTAAGCAAACTTTTGAAATGGCGCAAAAAGAGAAATGCGCATTAGGTGCATTTCCATCAACTTTGCTACATCGTAGATTAGTCAGAAGCTGGTGGTATAAGCTATGCAAGTATGTCATCAGCCAGTAAACAGATTAGAACCAGAAACGAAACAAGGCGGCTTGACATCTACAAGAGAAAAATGGAGAAAGGTCTTCAGGATTTTGCCTCAATTTTCAACAAGCATTTGGACATCATGTGAATATACTAGAAGACAGCGGGCACAGCAGATCAGTCATACGAGTTCAATGTTCGCTGCGTTAGAATATTCACAGCAAAGGTTGTTCCATAATGCAATTGAGGAAGTCTTTTTTTTTGCCATTTACATACAGCTTTTCTAATGCATTGATTCGACATGCACATAAAAATATGTCAATGAAAACACGGCTTCTACATTATTTTCGTACAGATTAAACAACGTGGGCGGTTAGCTTAGCTTAGTTTAACACAGAGACTGCAAACAAAAGGAAGCGTACTCCAGGGTGTGTCAGTACATCGTGACATCACAGGTGGGTGTGGTTACAGTTGCAAAGAGTACAATTCTGACCACACAATGAAATAGGGATGAAACATTCAACCTGAGACGACAATGAAAAACTTATTTTCAGCCTGCTTTTAAATGAGCTATAAAGCCAAGTAAAATAACTTTTAATGATAGAATAAAAAATAAATACTAACAGTTGACCTTTGGGGATTGGTATGCTCATACATTATTATAAAGGTCTACTTCTAAAGCTTGCGGTAAGGTGCGGTGTGCGGTTGCATCATGCTCACTGTGCTCAGGTGTTGGGGCGATGACCTTTAAGTTGGTTGACCGGGTGAAGTGGCAGGCAGAGGTGAACCCTGGGAAGGAACCCAGCCCACCGGCCATGTACAGAGCTGGTAGACCTGGGCGGGGGAGCTTTCTTTGTTATTTTTGCTTTAATATAATGCCGTGGGGGGCAGCGGACATACCGCCGCTCTGTGTTTGTACTGTGCTGCTGAGATCAGCTCCACGCCGGAGTCTGGTGCTGAGATACAAGAGGGGGAGCACCACAGTGTATCTCACATAAAACGACATTCGGCGCGGAGATGATTGCAGCTGCGAGCCCGGGGGAATCATTTCATTTAATTTTGTTTTATTGTGAAAACATGTCTGCATGAAGTTTAATTTTCATCTGTTCATGTGTGCATCTGTTGGATGGGGCATCTGAAGAAAACAGCTTTTCAAATTATTTTTAAAAATTTGTGTTTTTTGTTTTTACCTGCTATAGCCATCATGGCTTTCCTGTTTGACCTCAAAGCACTGGTTGACATGATGTCCATTGGGACCCTGCTGGCCTACTCACTGGTTGCTGTGTGTGTGCTGATTCTCAGGTGGGTACATTTGTAAATAACCAAGAAGTGTTATTTGTGCAACATTGTGAAACAGCGTCCCTTTTAGCTTTTCTAAAAACCCACAGGTACGATTACAAACGCCTCATGCTGTTGCATCACTCTGGTGATGTAAGAACTGTGAATGCTCCCATTGTGTGACTGTGTAGTGGCTGCTTGAGTGAATGAAGGCGTTTACTCAGGCTCCTTGTACTGTTAAACTCTGGACACGTTGTACACCTCTGCTGGTTGCACCGAGGTGACTCATCACCACAGCAGCGTTAACACGGACACAGTGTCCGTTCACTGGTTCAAACTGGATTTATAGGCCTCAGTTGTAAAGTAAAACCAAACACATAATTCACAATGAAAGTGTTTTGTAGCTGCTTAAAGGAGGCTGTATGTAAACAGGTAGTGCTTCGAGCATCTTTCCATAGTGAAATGCAGACTCGTGACCTTTAATCTCTGACTCCGCTGTCCTCCAGGTACCAGCCAGATGGAGCCCTAGTGCAGCGGGCAGGCACCGGCGAGAGGGACTACCTGTCCTCTGAGGCGGGGGAGTCTGAGCTGACGGAGTCCGAGTCCCACCTGAACATGCTCAACGGCGGCAGCTCCACCCTGCAGGCTGTCCTGCACCCTCCCGCCTCACCCTCCGAGCATTCCTCCAGTGTGGTCAACATGACCGTCTGTGTACTCGGTAAGCAGGCCGGGTTCTTTTGTTTTAATGATCTGACAAAAGACGTCAGAATTAAGTGTATGTGTGTGTGTGTTTTCAAACCACAGTGCTGGTAGTGTGCGTGGTCAGTTACCTCACAACGTACCACATCTACTCCATCCTGGGCATGGAAGTGTGGATCCTGGCGCTCCTGACCGTGTGCCTCCTCATCTTCAGTGGCTGCGTCTTCATGGTCTGCAGGCAGCCTCAGACCAGCACGAAGGTCTCCTTCATGGTGCGTGGCAGCTCAATAAGTGCGCCAGTTTCATAGTCTCACCTCATGGGATGAGGCCGATCCAATACATATACATTGATGGTAGATTTATCTTTGCTTGTTTTCCGTCACAGGTTCCCCTTCTGCCTTTTCTGCCCATTCTGAGCATATTTGTCAATATTTACCTCATGGTTCAGCTGAGTGGAGATACCTGGATACGTTTCTCTGTGTGGATGGCCGTGGGTGAGTTGTGGACATTTAAAGGAGTAATAGACATTTTTGGAAATATGCTTTTTGGTTAGGAGTTAGGTGAGAAGCTCAATACCACTCTCACGTGTATGCTAAACATGAAGCTAGAGCTGCTACGGTTAGCTTAGCTTAGCATAAGGACCGCTATCCCGGCTCTGTCTAAAGGTACTCTGTCTCTACCGGGAGCAGTGACTTCCTGGCGTCTTGTCATCAACCGTTGGAACCGTTGGAAACTTCAAGAAGTCACTGCTCCTCGTCGAGAAATATTTCAGCACAACATCACTCACACTTTGTTTTTTGTTTTTTTAGATATATCGTGTTAGTTAATGAGCTTCAGAGGTGCTGGTGGACGGATTTTGTCGTTCGTACAAGCCAAGCTAAGCTAAGCTAAGCTATGCTAAGATGTAGCTTCGTATTTAGCAAACACATATCAACTTTTGTTTTTTGGTATCTCATGTCTTTTCCAACGTATTTTTCTTTTTCAGGTTTCGTGATCTACTTCGGCTACGGCATGTGGCACAGTGAGGAGCGCCAGCGCAAACTCCAGGGTCTCGTCAACGGCAGCAGCACCCGGGAACACAGCAAGACCGGCGGGGAGAAGCGGGCCGGTACGGGTGCGGCGGGAAAAGACCAAGAGGGTTTCATCCGCCCAGAAAAGACCAGCCAGTTTTAAAGTGATGGACTCTGTGAGGCGACAGATGCATGAAAGCACACAGCAGCTCTGCCTTGATGCACCTGTTCACACGGGCGGCGTCAGAACTCTGTATTAGCGGCCACATGATGTGGGGAGCCGCTCTATCACTGCGATGGACTCGCATTAGGTCACATTGCGCTTCACGGACAGCACAGAGACAGAATTAAAAAAGGACAGGTAACACACTGGAGGGTGATGTTCATTTCCTTTAACACTGAAGCAGTCTGTGCACCACTGCAGCAAAGCCTCTCTCTCTCTCTCTCTCTCTCTCTCTCTCTCTCTCTCTCTCTCTCTATTTTCCTTTTCTGTTATTCTTTACACTTTAAGCAGGTTTGTACAAGTGGGTTTTAAATGTAAAGTCTTGGGAATCTGTGTTGTCCATTTTATTCCTCCAGAGTATTATTAGATTTTGGATACACCAATTATGTACTACTATTAAAAGTAATGTTAGTTTGTGGTAGACTAATGGAAGTCCAGTAAGTGCTGGTGGAGAAGACTTCTGTAGGTGGCATGCAACAGATCCTAGCAGTCTGTAGCTGTAGTTATTGAGGTATCTGTAGCTGTCGTGGTGCTGGTGGCTTTACTCAGCACAGGTTTACTTTTGCATTTTTGCTAGTGTATTTTATCTATGAACTGTTACAATATGAATATGACGATCCTTATTTGATACAGAACTCTGCTCAAGAAGTATTTTAGTGGTAGCGTTTTCCACTGTCAGATATATGACATGCTGTATTGTCTGATATTTTGATACGGTTACAGACCTTCATGAAATGATTCTCTTTGACACCTAACATGAAGCACAACAATTCATTCCAAAGGTCGGTCTTGCAGCATCATTTAGATGAACTGGGTCCTTTTTCCAGGTTTATTCTCTTGTGTTGGGTGTCTTCTTGCTTCAAGGACTGGAGTCTGTGTTGCTTTATAACCGTGTTGAAGACTTTTTGTGCTAAACTGCATGAAGATTCAGCACTTTCATTCTTTCCTCTGGGCTTTCAGGGGGAACCCTGTCAGGCTCAGTGAGCTCTAGTTAACAGTAGAAACTTTGGGATGTTGGTGATCAGGTTGATTGATGTGCAGGGCTCAACAGTAGCAGTTGCCAGGTTTGGCAACCATTTGGAGAAACTGGCAACCAATTCTTGGCCTCAGTGGCGACCAATTTTTTAACAAAAGTAGGGACAGTAAACAGCAAAAAAAAGTACATGTTTAATATTTGTCGCATCGGTGCATGTGTCAAAGCTACATGTGACAAAGCTGCACGTGCTTTGGGGTGTTTACTCGCCTGCGCACAGGCATCTGCCTAAGAGACAATGTGGAAGCAACTGTTTGTACAAAAAAGCAGATGAACCTGAACGAAAAAACAAAAAGGAAGCAGGTGGAGTCTTGGGAGGCGAACTGTCTCAGCATCTTTGAGCTGGACGGAGGAGTTTTTTGTTCGGTTTCTATTATAGCGCTTTTATTCTTTCATGTCGCATTTTCATTATTAAGCTGACGTACAGGACAACTGCTTAATTACTCAAAATATATGGTGACTAAAAATGACAACCATATTTTCAGTTTCGGCAACCAAAAGCTCATGCCTGGTTGCCAGCCTGTCGATGCCTTTTAAAAGTTAGTGTTGAGCCCTGGTGTGTGCAGTGCAGTGGTTTAAATGAATGTGGAACAAATCCAGAAGCTTGTCTCAGCAGGAGTTTGTAGGTGTTCTACTATTCTGAACCTCTACATGAAGTGTGGAGTCTTCCAGTGAGGTTACAGGGTAGAAGTAACCACAATGTCATGATACAGTATCACTTGTTACCAACTGCACAAGTACAATAAATGTATTTTCCAGTAACACAGTGTTTCATGTTTTCTTTTCTCTTTTATATTACTGCCTTAAGGTGGTTGTGTTTAAGTATTTGTCTGTTAGTTAGCAGGATATCTGAAAAAACAACATTTTAATGAAATCTGAGAGTTGGGCCATAAATCAAATAACCGATTCATTTCGTTATAATAATAATAATAATAATAATAATAAATTTTATTTATATAGCGCTTTTCATAAAACTCAGACACTTTACATTAAAATCATCATATATAAAAACAATACACTAAAAACATAAAATACACAATAGTGGTCACACATTAAAAGCAGTTTTGAACAGGTGGGTTTTGATCTGTGATTTCCGGTGAAGGATTCGAGGCGGGAGAGAAGGATGTTGTGGTTGATGGTGTCAAAAGCTGCAGTGAGGTCGAGGAGGATGAGAATGTTGAGGTGACCAGCGTCGGAGGAGTGGAGGAGGTCGTTGGTGACTTTGAGGAGGGCTGTTTCAGTGCTGTGCTGTGAACGGAAACCGGATTGAAATGGCTCGAACAGATCGTTGGAGATGAGGTGGGCTTTGAGTTGTGTGGCGACAATGCGTTCCAGTATTTTTGACAGAAAGGGAAGATTGGAAATGGGACGGAAATTGCTCATGGTGTCAGGGTCAAGTCCAGGTTTTTTGAGGATGGGGGTGACAGCAGCCAGTTTAAGTGTGTCGGGGACTGAGCCGGAGCTGAGGGAGGAGTTAATGATGACTGTGATGAGTGGTGAGATGGCTGGGAGACAGTCCTTGACCAGATTAGATGGTATGGGATCCAGGATGCAGGTGGAGCTTCTCATTCCAGTTGTGAAGTTAAGCAGCTCCAATGGGGACACAAGGGAGAACTGAGAAAGGGGCTGAGGGGTGGAGGAGGGGGGGGCAGGTGGAGAGATGGAAAAGGGGGGGGGGGGGGATGTGTTCAGGTTGCTGTAAATGGTGTCAATTTTCGTTTGGAAAAATGAAAGAAAAGAGTTGCATTTGTTCACTGTGAATGATGTGGAGGTGTTGTCCTTGGGTTTGAGAAGCTTGTTTATTGTGGAGAAGAGAGCCTTTGGGTTAGAGGAGCCAGACTGTATGAGGTGTGAGTAGTAGGTGGACCGGGCTGAGATGAGAGCGTCTTTGTATTGTCGAAGGTAGTCGGAGAGGGCTTGGAGATGGACTGTTAAACCGGTTTTCTTGCAGAGTCTTTCAAGCTGGCGCTTTCGAGATTTCATCTGGTGGAGTTCAGGAGTGTACCAGGGAGCCGAGTGTGTGAATGAGACAGTTTTGGTTTTGATGGGAGCCAGTTGATCAAGACAGGAGGAGAGTGTGTCATTGTAGTAGTTTACAAGATCGGAGGGATTATCAGACAGCGGGGCAGGGGAGGCAGACATGGTACTGGCAAGAGAGGCTGAAAGAGTTGTGGGGGAGATAGATTTGAGATTTCTGAAGGATATGGCGCGCTTCGTTTTTGGCATGGGGATAGGGATGTCAATGTCCATGGTGATAGCCAGGTGGTCAGAGATGTTGAGGTTGAGGCTGGAGAGTTGCGGTATTGTGAGACCAGTGGTGCAGACCAGATCCAGGATGTGACCTTGGCTGTGGAAGTTGATATGTTGTGTGAAGTTGAAGCATTGTAGTAGTTCCAGGAATTCTGTCGTAGATGTAGTCAGTGTTATCAATGTGGATGTTAAAATCACCTAGGAGGAGAACGGAAGGTGAGATGGCACATAGCTGAGTCAAAAAGTCTGAAAAGTCAGAGAGAAAGGAGGGATTTGGCTTGAGGGGAAGGTAGATTACAGCAGTAACCAAAGGAGTGGGACCAGAGAGTTTGAAGGCAAGGTGTTCAAAAGAATGAATGGCAGGAATGGGAATGGTGGTTGTTTTAATGTCCTTCCTGTAAACAGCAGCAACACCACCTCCCCGCCCCTCAGGACGAGGTTTGTCAATGTATGTGAATCCTGTGGGAGTGGTCTGGTTTAGTGAGAAGTAGTCCAGGGGTTTATGCCATGTTTCAGTGAGGCAGAGGAAATCAAGGTTACTGTCCGTTATGAATTCATTCAGAATGAGGCTTTTGTTGTTGAGTGAGCGAGTGTTGAGCAAAGCCAGTTTCAGGTGACGTTGCTTTGTGATAGGCTGTGAGGACTGAGGAAGGGGACGGATTCACGTGTTGTTTGTTGTGGTGACGTAACAAGGACGTTCGGGTGCGACAGGACCAGAGGGATGGGATGGAGTTTGGGGACGTGAAGTTGTAAGTGAACATGCGGCCAGAACCTCTGTGTGAAGGATGGCCTCGGTGAAGTACTCCATGTTCTTTGAGAATGTCCATGCAGTCCGGACGCAGGTGGTTGTTGAAGTTGTGAAGATCTGACGTGGAGTACAGCGGCGGCATGGTCCGGTTGGGGAGCGCTAGCAATAAGCTAGCATTAGCAATAAGCTAGCATTAGCTGGTGACCAAGAGCCGGCTGTCCGTGAGAGGAGAAGCGATGTGCGACCCAGGAGTATCAACGGGATGATCCACAGCATAACAGCGGCAAGACGCCAACAGTCCGGTGAGGAAGGAGTGGTGGCCTGGAGGCTACCAGCCTGTTAGCCGGACGATCCTGCCCGGAAAATGGAGGTCTGGTGCGCGGCTGTGGCTAGCGGAGAAGACCAACCCGAGCCTGCTAACCGCGCCGGGACGGAAAGATCCCGGCAGGGTAAACAGGTGTGCTCGTGCAGGCCGCTCGTGCTGGCAAGCGATGTAGCAGGCAGGGAAGACCGACAGCTCCAGTAGCAGGACGACGATGTAGCGCTGTGGACCAGACCCGGGAGTCCTGGGGCTAGCACGGAGGTTATGTAGATGACGCCCCCATGTGGCCGTTTATTCATAGCTTACTCAGATCTTTTACTCCAGTAAAAATATGGGAAAAATACTCCAATTCAAAAAGTACAAGTTCTGCATTCAATATCCTATTTAAGTATTATCTGCAAAATATACCTATAGAATCAAAAGTAGTACAAGTACTTGTGTCAAATGTCCCCTGTGACTGATATTTTGTAATATATGACATTATTAGATGGTAACAATGTGTACGTAGTATTTTATTATAGGTATAGCTGGTCAAGATGGAGCTAGTTTTAACTACTCATACTGTTACACTGTTGGGATCTGGCAGGAGAGTGTTTGGTTATCAGCAAGTATGAAAACTAAATTATTGACATTAATAAATGTGCTGCCGGCACATAAGCTTTTAAAATCTTCTTTCCCAGACCAGGTGCACCCAGTTGGGCAATGCAGCACACCTGCACACCTTCTTCAGTGCCATGAACACCATTGAAAACACATGAATGAGCAACACCGTTGCACTGGGTGACATGTGCCTGCATTACAATGAACACGGACGCTGTAGTTTACTGTAACCATAAATTGTCACTTAAGCACCAAATGTGTATTAATACGCAACAGAAGTCCCGAACAAATGCACCAACAGGCAATGCAGTTTGCCTGAAGGAAAGCAGTTATAAATAAATAATGAACACATTTTTATTTGGATTTAAATGTAGCTGTATCTTTAATGGGAAGGCCTTACCTGTAATTATTAATTAGTTCCTAGGAACTATAAGGTGAACCGCAGACCTGTAAAATGATGTGTACATAAAATAATATCTTGAAAGAGGATAACGAGTACTTTACTTATGACAGTATGGGTATAGTTTGCTGATGATACTTTATTAACACTTTGAATGAAGTATTCTTTAATTGTAATTGAATATTTTTGCTTTGTGGTATTTCCTGAAGTAAAGGCTCGAAATATGGCCTCTTACTTTTTAGTCTGTTTTTTATTATTGCCAACAAATCACAGTTTATTATTATTATGTTATATGCTGTGGTATCCCGTATTTGTGGATTTGCACTGGATGGTGTTCAGGAAGAGAAACAACAACAACACCTGAGGACTACAAGGTAAAATGTTTCATTTACTCCTTTGTGGATGGAAAAATATTTCAAATAACATAACAGTGTTCAGACATTTAAACATTTCACACACTAGATTTTATTTTTAATTTTTTAAGCTCGAAACATTGGATACCGTCATCTCAGTGTACCAAAGCACCACCTGGTGCTTGAAAAGCATATTACTCATAAACACAAATCAAATACATAGCTCCTACACCCATACTATCATACTATCTATGGCAGAGAAACATTAATAATGGCATACTGCATTGTTATGGCAGCATATGGATTAAAAGTAAAAATAACAAGTATGTGGAACGCAGTGCACCTGTTGAAACTTTGCTACAATTCTGGCCACATCCCATTTAGTTTTCCCATCACAGCAAGTGTGGTCCAGGGCAGAACACCATCTGTTACAGCACTAATCAGGATGTTGCTGTGTGTGCAACATGTGAAACAATGAACGCCACAGCTAGAGCACAGCCGTGCTTTTCTGATCCCGTCATCACCCTTTAAAAGGACTCTGTTAACGTGCATATGAGCAGGTAAGTAATCTTCCAGATGTGAGGCTATCCTTGAACACGATTTACACTCAGGTCCAGCAGAGGGCTCTAGAGTTCCTGCTTCTGCTCCTGAGCTCTGAGGAGAGGGAGTAAACAGAAAAGGCTCTGAGCTTATGTTCCCCTTTCCTCTCACTCTGTGAGGATGGAGCTGGAAATCTAGACGGGGCAGCTGGAGCCCGCAGAGTTCCTACTGAGCCCCGCATCAAAACTCCCCGACTCTCTCCGTCCCAGCAGAGCGCACCGTCCCGTCAGCACACAGCATGAAGCTCTGGGTTGTGTTTTGCCTGGCGCTGCTCTGGGTTGAGCTCCAAAACGGTGAGTAAAGTCTCCACATCTGTCTGGTAGACTTATGGTTGAAGCAAAAATGAGAACTTGGGAGTGTAACCTGTAGGGAGGATTAAATAATCTGAGGTTGTGTGGCTGGCTGGTGGGCACCAGTCTCTGTGATTGTGCGTAGAATGGGAGGTGGATTCACAAAGAGGTAGATCTGCTTCACAGGAGGCAAACACTCGATCGACACATTTTGTCAATCATTCTGTCTCTCCTCAGGCGAACACTGCAACTAATCTCCTCTATTTGAATTGTATATAACGCATGTGAATTGTAAAAGTTTGCAGAAGAGTTGTGTGAAGTTTTTGCAAAGTATTTCTGCAGACCAACTCAAACCAGCTGCATCTGAGGCATGCAGCAGGCGTTTCTAATTAACCAGCCCTCGCTGCTGACCTCTGCTTGGAGTTCTCATTAATTCTGCACGAAAGAATGAAACAACAAACCCTGAAAGTCTACATTATAGACAGATTTTTGTTTTGTGCCGCAGCTGAAAGAGGGTTCTGGGTTCTGGACATTTTGTGCCAGTAATAAGGATTTCACACTTCCTGCTCAACTGTTGTCACAGCTGGGGGAACCAGGAAGAGTATCTCTCTGGATGGGCGATCTGAACGCCAGTCTGGACAGTCTAAAGAATTAGGCCACAGCACAGCTCCGGCAATGGCTGATTTTGTGATTTATCTTTATCATCTTGGCTCTTGCCTCTAACTCACCCTCCTCCCTCTGTGCGTCCAGGTGCCTGCCAGCAGGTCAAGCGGAGAAAAGATGTAGGAGAGAACCGCATCCGTCCTGGGGGGAAGCGGGTGAAGGCGCGACCTACCAAACCAAAAGATGGAGGAGGGAAAGGCCAGTCCCTGCTGACCCAGGTCTTAGATAAGGGGCGCTTCCTGCGCCTGGGCCCGAGCACCACCCTGACGCCCGGGAGGGACATGGAGCTGCGCTGCAAAGGCAATTCTATCGGATGGTCGTACCCGACCTACCTGGACATTTTCAACGACTCACGCCTCAGGTGTCCGAAGCTCGCGTCAGCCATTTTGTCGTGCTATAAACTGATGCAAGTGTGTAAGTCTCATATATATATATTTTTGTTTCCCGCCTCCAGCATCATTCCGAGCGACAAGTACAGCCAACTGATCCTGACGTCGCCCTCTGCTGCCGACACGGGGCCCTACAGCTGCTGGGTGATCGTGTGTGACGGCACCGAGTGTGAGAGGGACCACGATCGCACCTACGTCTCATACATCTACTTCACAGGTGAGGCAAAGCACTCTCAGCACACTGAGCTTTACAGTTTCTAAAACGAGAAATAAGGGATATTTACAAAGAGCACACGATGCCACTTTAATAAATGGTTAATGATTCATTATAACATGAATATGATATTTATTTATGCTTCGTTATCATTTATAAGATCACAACCCTTTGGTCCATCAAACAAATAGATCACCTTTGAGATTGGATGGCCTGTCTCCATTTAGGTGTATTTTTGGCACCAGTGTCATAGAGGACAATACCACATCCGAACCTTACACCTCTCCCCCTAAACAGACAAAGACAACCTCTTCGTCCCCTCTGCCATCCACTTCGAGATCGTGTACCTGCGCCCAGACAGGCCCGCCGTAGTGCCCTGCCGCGTGACCGACCCGCAGGCCAAGGTGTCCCTTCACAGAGAAGTCCCTCCGGAGGAGATCCCAGCCAACGGGACGCAGGTGACCTACGACCCCACCAAGGGGTTTGTCTTGCAGAGCCCCAGCCTGGAGCACCAGGGGGTCTTCTACTGCAAGGCCGTGACCAAGGGCACCCCTCAGATCTCCACCAAGTACCAGCTGCTCTATGTGGAGGGTAAGGAGTCACACTTATCACAGATAGTCTCAAATGGTGTCGCTGCTCAGAGGGCTGGGTCAGTGACCTTTTTCCTCTTGTGTGTTTAACTGCCAAACATAGAAACTTTAATTATGACTTCACTGATTAAAAGCAAGAACCACGGTGACAGGCATTTTCTACAAAGTCATGAATCAAGTGCTGTTTTTTTTTTGCTTCATCAGCCTCTAGGAGAGGGTTGTATTTCTCAGCTGTCAAAAGCTTCCTGGCTCCTCTCTGCTGAGCTTGGTTCGTGTGGGCGATTTCCAACTGAAATGGAAACAGTCTAGATTTTGCAAATATGAGGAGGAAGAAGAGCGGTGAATATATGGAATGGAAATTGTGCGTGTGCGGTTTAGGTCAAATTAAGCTCCCGTGGCATGTTTGACTGGCAGGTGGAGAGAGACGGATTTTGGACTGGGGACGGAGGTTTAACTGGTTAAATACCCCTCAGCTTTCACCTGTGAGTCTTATGAGTTTTAACATTGGTCACCGTTTCTTGTTGCCAGTTCCGAGTGGGCCACCGTTTGTGAGCCTCGACGCCTCTCCGGAGTCAGTGGGAGGAGGCGACAACGTCGACGTAACCTGCACAGTGTTGGGGGAGCCGGAGGTGGACGTGAGCTTCACCTGGTCTTATCCTGGTCAGGTAAGACGACAACTGGGCTTAAATCCTACAGTCACACCTGATTGAGGACAAAGTCAGCAACCTGCGTTTACACATGTCAGTCTGCTTCAATTAACAGAGACATTTTGATATTGTAAACAGGGTTAATAATCATAACACATTCTTAATTGGAGGGTAAGTTTTAGGTTATCAGATAAACCATGGTGGATTTTGTGATTACCTAACCGTTTTGAATCATAGATCAATCCTTTCCCCGCCCCGATTGTCACCAGAAAACCCCACAGTGGCAGTAGATCATGTTTGTTTTATTGTGTAGGGCCGTCGGCCGGTTCACACCCACACGTCCTGGAGGCTGGTTAACAGAGGAATAAGCCACACCACAAGGATCTCCCAGAGTGTCCTGACTGTAGAAGACATGGAGACCATCGACTTTGGAAACTACATCTGCAAAGCCAAGAACCGGAACGGCGAGACAATCGTGACGACCAACATCATCTCCAAATAGCCTCGGCAGCGGAGCCCGTGTTACGGTTGAGTGTGTTGCTGAGATGTAAGAGGAACACACCAACCAGTGAGACCTGATGAAATCGACATGTATATACATCAAAATGGGTGTATTTTTAGATTGCAGATTATGTGATAACATAATAAAGATTTGCTACATCTTTTGTTGAAGAGTTCATTCTCAAAACTGGACCCTTACTGTATGTTTGCAGTTCACGTGACTGTAGGTTAGTGCAAATCTGCATGAAGCCATGCACAGCCATGCACAGTCTAACACAGAAGCCAAAGTGTGTGAGATGTTTCACTCATTTTTAGAGTGGCCAAAAGGTAGTTCTGGAGGAGGAGATTCATTTTGCAGCAGCACAATGAGCCGACACATGAATGCAATCTGAATTCCAAAGAAGAACAAGGAGTGCTGACTTTCTCCTCCACAGTCCAGCAGATCTACTGGGAACGTTTGCTCAGTGAAAAGCCCCAAAAACCGTTTGACAACATGCTTCTTGCGATTGCTCTACAGGAGTTCGGGTTTCACATGTAGCTTCTCAAACTCGGCAATGTTTAAATGAAATGATGCTAGAAACGAGAGCAGACTTGCTCTGGCTTCGCAGCAAGTTGTCAAAGAGGAAAATCTGGTTTAAAGCTGAGCAGTGTGCCAGGCTGACGTCCTAATGCACTCCGTATGTGGAATGTGATCTGCAGGCCCAGAACTCATTTCGGTCCAATGCAACACTTGCTGCAGTTTCCACTTTGCTGAATCGTTATTTGGTTGTTAAGATTTTTGGAATATGCTTCAGTTTAGGAGACGAATGTTTGTGGTTGAGAAAATAATCAAGGATATTTGGTATCCTGGAATGATGCCTGCTGAAATCCTATCATATACAATAGGGGTGGGAATCACCAGAGGTCCCGCGATACGATACTATCACGATACTGCGATATTCTGAGTATTGCGATACCATAGGCCTGTATTGCGATTTATTACTTTTTTCCAACTTCAAATGATGTCCTCAAAGGAAAACTGTCAACATGTTTTATCTAATAAGATAAAGTTCTCAGTCTGTTCATCTCACTTCAATCATTTTTATTGCAGCAAAATAGGATCGTCAAGCAGACAGACTGACCAACAAGGTCATAAATGTTGCATGCACCTGACAAACTGAACTGTTTTTATTACTACATAGTCCAAGTTAACTAAATGCAAATGTGTGGACTCAGTATATGAACTATAACTTATATAAGTAGGATATAAGAGTTGTATAACTCAGTATAACTTGCGATGCGTGGACGTCAAGGGCAGAGAGACAGTTATGCGCTGCACTTTCCCCATGAGCCTGGCTACTGTTGGCAGATTTAACCGCGTTCTGAGGCCAGCTGTCTCCATCTTTGTTTTGACTTCCTACCAATCATGCTGACCTCACCAGAAAACAACTCGGCACCATCTAGTGGACTGAAAAAGCAATCGATTTGATTTTTCTAGTAATTTTTTTTATTTTTTATAAATAGTTTATATAATAAAAGATCGATACTTGGCGTCTGTGTATCGATACAATATCGCCACGCAAAATATCGCGATACTATGCTGTATCGATTTTTTCCCCCACCCCTAATATACAACACTAAATCTCATGTGCTGCAAATATATAGATCAGTTATACAGCTCTACTTTGACACAACAGGTTTAATACAAGACTTTATTATTTGCATATTTCAAAAAGGGTCGACAAACCAATAATATCAAGTCCACACAAAATACTCTGAGAAATTGAGTACAAACAAAGACCCCATCTTTGAAGGTCTACTAGGAGGATTCAATACGGGGTGATCACCGAGACACAAACACATGCACAAAGACTCGGATTGGTCTCTTGGTCAAACAAACACATGTGGAAAACAAAACATGTTTGAGGCAACAGATGATGCTTGAACTGACAAACTAGGTGTAAAAAAAACCTTAACCTTTAAAAAAAGAAACCCAAAGAACCTCTGAACATGGAGACTTGCACAGCCCTGGTGTACCGACTAGCAGCGGGATGTTAGTGACGTGACAATTTGACTGTCACTCTTGCGCAGTTAGATGTGAGAAATGGTGCAGGAATCCAACAGGAGCCATTTCATGCACATTTTAAATAAAATGTGCCCCGAGGAGGGACAATGTCATCTGAACTCCATCGCTGTGATCTCCAGAGACAGAAAGAACAAGGGCTGTATCTGCACGAGTTGACATGCAAGCATTTGTGCATCTCTTACTGCATGTACTGTGTGTGTGTGTGTACGATGAGCTTCAGGGCAGACAAGTCTCTGTCAACAAATAAAAATAGTGTATCATTACATAGAAGTCCTGAGATTTCCTCCATAGTACCAGACGTGAAAGGCAAAACAACAAGGCGACCTTGCCTATTAAGTGCATCTGTGCAACTATTTTGTACTCTGCAGTGTTTGTACAGAAAGTGTCAGAGTTCATCCAATCCTGAAGGAGCCACAGTCAGGCTGTTGTGTTGCTCAGCGAACAGGAAACAAACATGGCTCTTAATTCCAGGTGGAAAACTCCAAAGACGGGGTGTGCTTCCTGGAAGCAGGGGACCGTCATTATCTGGGCGAGACGGGCGAGCTGGAGCACACGGCCGAGCTGCGAGGTGATTGGAGGCTGAAGGACCGGGATGGGGAGGTGGAGGTGGGGGACACCTTGCGGGGGCTACTCGGGTCTCCGTTGTGGAGCTTCCACATCAGCTCCTCGTTCTCCATCGACAGACGCTTGTTCACCTTGGACTCCTTCTGAAGGGACTCCTGCAGCACTGCCTGCTCCGTCGACAGCTGTCTGTGATGCATCGACACAACAGACAATTTAGACACGCTCTGAAGAACAAATGTGTACAGACGTGGAGATATTCAACCAGTGAACTGAAGCCAAAAAGTACTAGTATATAGCAGTTATGCGACATATTCACTTAGTTATTGTCAACAAATACTATGATAAGAGTCATAAACATACGTTAATACATCTCCCAGTACTTTCTGACTTGATGCTCTCAGCCCTGAACCCATTGGTTCCTACTGAAGATGCACCGCAGACATCAAGCAAACTGGAGCATTTGTTGGGGACAATTTTCCGTCACAGACAGCGTATGTGGAATTAAGTCAGAATTAACTACAGTGCCCATATTCACCGAGGGAACCAGTTCAATTGTGTGGCTCATTGATTAATAGTTTGTGTTAAATAATGAAGGTATAATAATGATACTATGCATGGCACAGAGAAGCCGTCTGGTTTCCATCACTGTAAAATAGGAGTTGATACGGTGAACTCTTACCTTGACAGTGCATAATGTTTTTCCATACGGGCTTTGAGGTCCTCATTCTCCTGCTGGACCTTCTTCAGGCTCTCATCCAACTTCACATGTTTCTCTGTCTGGAAAGATTAAAAACAACACCACATGAATCACTCATCATAGTGTTGCTTGTCTTGATGCCCAGCAATCACGATCGTCCGCTTCAGGTCTCACCAGTGTGTCTATTGCCATCATCTTCTTCTCCTGCTGGTGGAGCTGTTTGTTTTTAATATCCAGCACCACTTTGAGGCTCTCTAGCTCCTGCTCCAGATACAGGGTGTGGGAGTCCTTCTGAGGGGACAAATGAGTAGCGCCAAGATGCTCAGAGACCAAAGACTTCAAAAAAAAAAAAAAAAAAAAGTTCAGCCAGCCTCGTAAAATGTCATGTGGCCATAAATCCAGAACCACACAACAGAGGGCGCCACGCATCACTAGAAGTAATCTTAAAAAAAATCTGCTCTGGGCTCACAGGGACAATGAAGCTCTGGATGTTTAGGTGTCATACACAATGACAGAAAAATAGTGTGCTCTGCATGAAGGTTGTGTTTAAATGACTCCTGGTCCTTTTTAACAGGTGGTTAATATATTTTGAGCCTTATTATCCATTAATAGCAGATGTGGAGTGGCAGGGTGATGTGAGGTAGTTCCCTTAAAGACTCTACTGGGCCAGGGCAGAACGCCGAGTACATGTGGAAGCTACTTAACACTGACAACAGCACTCTGGGAGAAGTAAAATCTACCCTCTGGGCAGAGACCCACTCAAACCAGTTCATAAAGAATGGTTAACTGACCTCATAGACAACCGTTCCTTTAAGATAACGTGTAATGTTTATCGTTCCTCTCTTGTAATCATTGGCTTCTGTCACCTTTTAAGCTTAAAAAGGCAAACAACACTGGAGTCATGAGATGTTTCTCAAGTGCAGCTGTGCTATAAAAATCACACAGATAAGAGTACCTGACTCTTCTCGGCCAGCTGTTTCCTCCGGTTCTCCACCGCAGTCAGCTTCTCAATCAGGGCATAGTTCTCCACAGTCAGCTCTTGGATCCGTTCCTGTGGATGTACGCAGCACAACAGACTCACCGAGTAAAGCTTCCACACATCAATTCACAAGTTATCCTCGTGAGGTGACGTGCAATCGTTTTGTGCGAGTCTCTTCGATGAAAGGAAAAACAAAAGTCAAGCTTACAGACAGAGTGGCTCCCGTCTCTTTCAGGGTTCTTTCCAAGGACTGCAGCTCCTGGTTGTGGACTTTGCTGAGCTCTGAAGAGGACGCAATAATCATTTCAGATAACTTTAACCGCACAACAAAGCTCAAGTCTGATCACAATTTAATGTTATGATGCAATACAAAAATCCATGCATGCATTTGCTAACTGAGGAAGAATATTCAAAGTTAAAATACACTCAAAGCTTCAGTTTCAAATAAAAATCATAAAATGCAACTTTATAGAATAGTTTCATTAATTTGGTGAAACACTGCTCACTCACCTTCCAGTGACATGTCATACTGCTGTCTAACAGACAGCAGCTGTTCTGCGTGGCTGCTCTCTAGCTCCAGCTTCATGGCTTCATGATTGGCTTTAAGCTCTCCCATCTTCAAGAAGAACACAGGGTGGACTTCATTATGAAACCGCAGCATCACCGATCATAAGGCATTGCTAATCACTGCGGTTGTTTTTGTGTTTTATGTTCATATATACTTTTGTACATTATCTATGTGTGTATGTAGCAGTAATACATGGCCAATAAAGCTGATTCTGATTATTTCAAAGGGGAGTCGGGACAAACCTGCTGTTGCATGAGAGTCTTGCACTTGTCAGTCTCGTCCTGGTAGGTGAGGTGGACCTTGTCCCACTCAGCCTGATAGAAGGCCTGGAGTCTCTGCTCCAGCTCCACCAGGTCGTTCTGGTGCTGCTCCTGCAGTTTGTGCAGAGCATCCTGCAGAGCGACATACAACTCATCCTTCTCCTTCTCCAGGAGTTCAGATGAGTGGACGGAGCAAACTGGAAATACAACAGAACGCTAGTAAAAAGGTGACAGGACATGTGTATGGTGTCCAGTGATTGTATGCAGCTGTGTAGACTAATATTCATTAAATAGGGCAGAGGAACATTGGTATGAGTAACTGATTGTGTAACAAATACTATACGTCCACTGGAAGAAACTCTGTTCAGCAAAAGTCTACGTGGGTGTAAATGTGCGACACTGAATGGGCTCCAAAAAGGAATGGAAAAACTGACTTTCAGGGGGAGGTTCCTCTTGCACTTGAGTGCATATGCCAACTACACTGCAGTTATTTATAGGCAGATAAAGATACGCCAACAACTTGTCTCCTAATTCTTTCACAATATCCAGAAATCATAACAGATTTCTTAAATCAGGCCTGTTCCCTCCGCAGCTGGTAATTTGCCATTTTGAAGTTTGTGCAATTGGTGGCTTTTGCTCAGTAAACCAGTCTCACTATTGCCCAACTGTTTCCATTGCCAAGTGTTTATATCTGCTCTGGAGTAGGTGACAGTGACCGACTCCATAACCTGTCTCCAGTTTAAATGCTTGCGCACAAACACTGTTTAGACCAGCAAGCCGATGTGAACGTCAAGTCACTAGTGAACTCGCACTGATGGTGTGCAGTAAGAAGGCACAAGAACGTCTGCCGACATGTTAAGCAGGTGATTCCCTTTCAAACGGTTGGTATCAATAAACCACAACTACTCAGAACTTAAAACTGAACCCAGATGTTGCTCTGCTGCGATACAACATCTTACAATTTACATCCCGTTCTAAAACACAGATTTGGCAGCCACAGTATAATGCTACCATGGTCATGACAGGCGCTTTTCAACATCTTTTGCAGGTATGAAGACTCCCCTGTTAGCCATGAGGGCCACATGCTGTATTTAACGTCTTTACTGGTTCACACATCTGTGTTGAGGGTTGCAATTTTAGTCATGTTGAACAACTTTGTCACAGACGAATAGTCCCAAATGATGTGTATTCCTGATGCTGATAAATCCGGATGCAAAGAAAGTCCCAGAGTCTGTTTTTGCACGGTTAAAACTGAGCTACAGTATAAACTCGGCACTGCAGGAGCATGAAGATTCACCTTAGCAAGAGTGGAATAACAGCAGCAGATCCAGGAACAGAGGCCAAGATAACATAGGGACCATCTATCACGCTTTGACATGTACAGCTCATCAAACGGAGCCCAGCACTCCACAACCACGTGTAATAGAGATCTGGTCATATGAGCCTTTGTCTAAACCCACTTCACAAAAACACCTCATGGCTCATACTGGGGAGGAGGGCCCAGCTGATCTAAAGTTAGCCGCATTCTGGCAAACACTCAGCAGGGTGATGGGTGTTTGGAAGTGTCACCGATAATTCAGATCCCTTTTAGATATAATTTTACGTGTGATGGATGATAAAAAGGGGTGTGGTTGTATCACAATTTGGGCTGGGGCCCCAAGACTGTAGTTTATTGCTGTATGAGGAGTGAGATCACTATGGAAGCAGGCAGCGACACAGTCTAGAGGAATTTACGGACGTGAAGAATGTGGTAAAGCACAGATATAACAGCGCTCAGCATATACAGTTGTGTGAAAAAGTGTTTGCCCCCTTCCTGATTTCTTATTTTTTTGCATGTTTGTCACACTTAAATGTTTCAGATCAAACAAATTTAAATATTAGACAAAGATAACAAGTAAACACAAAATGCAGTTTTTAAATGAAGGTTTTTATTATTAAGGGGAAAAACAAAATCCAAACCTACATGGCCCTGTGTGAAAAAGTGATTGCCCCCCCCTGTCAAAACATAAATTAACTGTGGTTTATCACATCTTTGGAAAGCTGAGTTCAATTTCTCTAGCCACACCCAGGCCTGATTACTGCCACACCTGTTCTCAATCAAGAAATCACTTAAATAGGACCTGCCTGACAAAGTGAGGTAGACCAAAAGATCCTCAAAAGCTAGACATCATGCTGCGATCCAAAGAAATTCAGGAACAAATGAGAAACAAAGTAATTGAGATCCATCAGTCTGGAAAAGGTTACAAAGCCTTTTCTAAAGCTTTGGGACTCCAGCGAACCACAGTGAGAGCCATTATCCACAAATGGCGAAAACATGGAACAGTGGTGAACCTTCCCAGGAGTGGCCGGCCGACCAAAATTACCCCAAGAGCGCAGCGACGACTCATCCAAGAGGTCACAAAAGACCCCAGAACAACATCCAAAGAACTGCAGGCCTCACTTGCCTCAATTAAGGTCAGTGTTCATGACTCCACCATAAGAAAGAGACTGGGCAAAAATGGCCTGCATGGCAGAGTTCCAAGACGAAAACCACTGCTGAGCAAAAAGAACATAAAGGCTCGTCTCAGTTTTGCCAGAAAACATCTTGATGATCCCCAAGACTTTTGGGGAAATACTCTGTGGACTGACGAGACAAAAGTTGAACTTTTGGAAGGTGTATGTCCCATTACATCTGGCGTAAAAGTAACACGGCATTTCAGAAAAGGAACATCATACCAACTGTAAAATATGGTGGTGGTAGTGTGATGGTCTCGGGCTGTTTTGCTGCTTCAGGACCTGGAAGACTTGCTGTGGTAATTGGAACCATGAATTCTGCTGTCTACCAAAAAATCCTGAAGGAGAATGTCCGGCCATCTGTTCGTGACCTCAAGCTGAAGCGCACTTGGGTTCTGCAGCAGGACAATGATCCAAAACACACCAGCAAGTCCACCTCTGAATGGCTTAAGAAAAACAAAATGAAGACTTTGGAGTGGCCTAGTCAAAGTCCCGACCTGAATCCGATTGAGATGCTGTGGCATGACCTTAAAAAGGCGGTTCATGCTCAAAAACCCTCCAATGTGGCTGAATTACAACAATTCTGCAAAGATGAGTGGGCCAAAATTCCTCTACAGCGCTGTAAAAGACTCATTGCCAGTTATCGCAAATGCTTGATTGCAGTTGTTGCTGCTAAGGGTGGCCCAACCAGTTATTAGGTTTAGGAGGCAATCACTTTTTCACACAGGGCCATGTAGGTTTGGATTTTTTTCCCCCCTTAATAATAAAAACCTTCATTTAAAAACTGCATTTTGTGTTTACTTGTGTTATCTTTGTCTAATATTTAAATTTGTTTGACGATCTGAAACATTTAAGTGTGACAAACATGCAAAAAAATAAGAAATCAGGAAGGGAGCAAACACTTTTCACACAACTGTAAGAGCAGTCATGTGGAAGTCCCGAGGCTGTGAGGGAGGGGAGGAGCCCCAACACTGCTGCTGCCTCGAGTAAGAGATGAAAGCTGGTGAGCGAGCGTGTACTGGGAGCGCGCATGCGTCTGTACATACAGGTCTACTCTGTGTAACAGCACATAGGCTGGACAGAAAGCACGGGTCATTGTCCCGAAGCGCTCACAAGGCCTCTGGTGGCGTGGCATTCCACCACTGGGAGCCCCTCCCGCGTGGGGTCAGAGGTCAGCCTGACACTCCCTAGGGAACGGGCTGACCAGTCTACTCAGCAACACTTTAAACACACATGCCTTGACAAATAGGCATGTGTGTTTCAGCCGAGGACAAAGCAGTCAACGAGTGGAGGAAGATACCCCCCCCTTACCAGGGGGGGTATCTATTTGGTAGGCAAAAGCAAGCCGGAGTAAGACCTCCCCTGCATACAGAGATGGTAATGTTTCATTTATGAAAACTATTGTGTCACACTGGCTATGACTGAGTACAGTGCAATGCAGTGGGAGACTAACTTCATCAATGTAGAATAATGCCTGACATACACATTGAATTTAAAGCACCAATAAATAAGATCAATAACTGCTTTAGATCACAGCAACAAAATAAGTAAACAACCAGATAGGAAACAATAGGAAAACGTTATTGTTCCCATTATTGATACAAACATGACCTTAAATGTTTCCTTATCGTCTAAAGTGAACAATCAAAGAAGGACAACAACGCATCAGAAAGGTGCAGAGCAGAGCCTGTAGCAGAAGTGTGTGCTTTGGTGATAACAACTTTAAACACAGCTGGTGTGTGACCAAGGTGACCTAACTTACCCAGCTCTCCTCGAAGGCCGACCAGCTCCTGGGACAGATCCCCGCACTGCCTTGCTGCTTCATCACGCTGCAGAGAGAAAACACATGTAAACAGTGACGCACATGCTCATGAAGATGTCAGCGCAATGTTTTCCACTTAAATCATCACATGAACAACGCCATCAGTTTGAAGTTGAATATATAGGACTTAAGTTAGTCGGTATTAGAAGGAAGGCTCTGCCAGGGCAACACCCTTGACACATAACCATCTAATGAGTTCAGTTTGTCCTTCCAGGATATTGGGTTCGACTGCCAAATGCAAATACATCAACATTACCATGGCAGCAAGGGAGGGAGATTAAGGAAAAATAGACATTCATCTCGTGTTCTCAGTCTTAGCACATGCTTTCTGTCAGCCCAACTCTTTTACTTCTCCCTGTCTGACTCAGCTGTGCAGTAAAGACGAGGCTGTAGCTGCAGTGCTCCTCCACAATTCAAACAGACGCATCCAAAAACTGTTTACCCCTCATGTGATACCGTTCCGACTATGTCGGTTCACATAAACACCCTGACACACTAAACAGTACACCACACAGCCTGCATAATTCAAGTATGAACCAGACACATAATAGCCTGGTAAGACAAAAGCAAATATAGTCCAGCCTGTCTAGCTCTATCCCAGAACTGCATCTATTCCTCACTGCAGAGTAGAACAATGTAGAAGCCGGTTACCCTCTCTGCAGCGTTGGGAGCACTAAGGCACGCTCTGCTGCCAATACAGCCCATGACCCAGCCTCAGCCCGAGGCTTACTAGCTGGAGACTCCCCCTCCAGCTATGGAGACCCAGTACTCCAGCACAGACAGTGGTCCAGGTGGACGCACCACCTCTCCACACACACACCTCCTCTCAGACTGCTCTGACTACATCGGCGGCAGGACTGAAAAAGCCGCTCTGCTGGCTGAGGAGAGTGACTGCAGAGTGCATTACCGTATTACACCTAAAGAAAACCCAAAAGGGGCCGGCTTCAGTGTACACAAGAACAGCCTCCTCATCAGTGAGGCGAGGTCACTTTAAGACAGCACTAAAGGCAGCCGGAGACGAGCAAACAGATAAATTGCACAGAGCTGCCTGACATCAGGCTGATGGAGCAGGACTAGTGCTGAGCAGTGACCTTCCCAGGGGATACATGGAGGCTTCATTACCACCATCCCCCACCCAAACCTACATTAAATCATCCCCTCACCCCTCTGCATCACTACCGTACGCTCTGCTGCAAGGCTTCATGGGTACGATCTATACAAGATGATAACATGCTGAGACGGATCACATTCCCAGCTTCTGTGTGAGCACAAGTCTTTACAGTCAATGTATAGCATTAAAGAAAATGATGTCACTTGTTGACCTCAGTAATCACTCAGACGGCGGCATTAGAAACCATTTTACCGACACAGTAAAGCTAATCTATGGGTACAAAGAGTAGACATCCCCAGTGTATATCCGCATGATACCATGTCAGGTGTAGAATAACACTTGATGGCCGACTAAGATCAATGACTAATTGCTTCAGATCAAGTTACAAGAAATATTGTGAACATTAGAAAGCAAGTGAAGTGAAGACCATCAATCATTCATCTGTTTTTTTTTTTGGGGGGGGCGGGGGAATGCGCTCGCATTCCTACGCTGAAACGCAGACACAGCATTTGCTCTCCGAGTGAAGTTGTGTCAAACCAGACCCGGTGCTCACACACTTCATCCAAACAGATAAGAACCAGTGTTCAGCCCTCGCTTAGTGCCCATAACCATATCAAGTCAACAGCTGGGACATTCTCACACCATGCTGGTGAGACCATGCCTCCTATTCTTGGTCTGATGAATTGCCACCAAATTCCATTGCACACTCCATCCACACAGACTCACCCATTAACACACAAATCTGATATTCTTGTGTACTGAATTGATGTTTTCATATTAAATACAAGTTGTGTGTGTGTGTGTGAGATAGAACGTGTTCACTGGAATCACTGGTTTCAGTGGAGGGGTGTGTGTTAGTCAGTGAGAGGAACAAACATTGTGTTTTTAGTAATTGTTGATGTAATCAGTTGCACAACCCTGCTAACCAGACATAGATACGAGTCAAACACACTGTGCCGTAAAACACCAGCTGTCACATTACATGGGACAGTATCTGAACACGTTTTTTTTTTTCTCCAGCTTTTGTTTTTTTGATAGCTCCATATATATCCATCAGTCAATACTCTCTGCACTACTCTCAAAAAATGAGTTACTACTGACTTTGTAATGAATGGAACGAGCACTCAAGTTACAACAAGCAAACATGCTGATGCTCATGGTTTGGAATGATTCTAAAACATCTGAGGAGCAAATGTCAAAATAACTTAAGACACTTGACTGCATTCACAGAATACCTGGACTTTTTCACTTTTTTTGCAGGAGCAATTAAAAAACCAACAGTAATCGCTGAAGCTCACTGAGGCTAAAATTGGACTGACATGAACTCACATGTCACAACTGCAACTATCCAGAGCGCTGCCACAAGGGATCCGTCTGGTGTCAAACTCTGGAGTAAGGCCGGAGTAAAGTTAGTTAATCTTCTAGGCCAAAGGAAATAAGTGCATGAGTGACTTTCTGTATTACAATTGAGAGAAGCAGTGGTTTATTTTTCTGAAATAACACTGCTGCAGAGAGCTCAAGTGCACAACCACTTGAACACATTTGTTAAATTCTGGTCAACAAACATCCCCTTGTTTCTAGGCCATATGTTTCATGTTAGCAACTAAGATACTCGGCTTTTTTTCCCTTTCCTCCAGAGACCCTGGCTCTTGTTAATACATACAGTAAGTAGCACATTGCTTGCAAACAGATTTTTACAATCCCTTACACACAAACACTGCTGATGTGCGTGTGTGACAGAGCGCTCCGCTAAACTGGAGCCACAGCAGGTACAGTAGGGTTAGAGATAGGGTCATCCATACATGTGCGATTCATAGATTTGGCCTCAACTCCCTGTGCTGATGTGTCAGAGGGGGAGCAACAATGTCAGATGAGGTCCAGTGGATTGCAAAATCCTGGCAGACCTGACGTCTTCTCTTTGTGCCACTCAATCAGGCCTCAACTGTCAAGGACATAAAACCCAACACAAAGTAACAAAGGGAAAAAAATATATCATTTTATATATGCTAAAATAGGGTTTCTACAACTACCTTGGTGTTCTGATGTTTGACAATAGTCAATGCAACAGCACTGTTAGCCAGGGGATAATGAAGAGTGGAGGAAGAAAATCAAATATATCACATACATCATGAACCCCCTTTGGTCGTCAGGCTACCCATCTCTGTTTTTAGTTCTAACAGCACTGAACCACAAGATTCAGTATTTGTTATGCATATGTAAAAGTGTTTTGTTGTTTCTCACTTCTTCACTCAATCAACACACGTGAACACGTCTAGAGTTAACCAGAGAGACTCAAATAGCTTGTGACATTTTAACCTCTAGGTTTACACAATCATTTCATAATTCACTCATATTAGACTGTAAAGTGACTAAATTTACTTTACACAGTCCAAGCACCGAATCATAATTTTGCTACGACAACACCTAAATGAGGCAGTAGATGGTTGCGGTTGGGTGGGTAGCTGATAGGATAAGTCTGTTTGCACTGTGTCTTGGGGCACAGAGTTCCTGGAAGCCAATCACATGGCACCACTATTAAAACAGATCCAAAACAAACAGAGCCTTTTTAAAATATGGAAGTTTAAACTTTCTGTGTCATGCTCGTCTACCTGAATGACCTATGAATCCATGAAGTGTACAACTGAACTGAAAGGCGGGCGAGCTCTTAGACAGAAGCCAGAATGAGTTCAGCTCTTCTGTTAAAATCTTCTGCTGCAATAAAGATTCATTCTGAAATGGAGCGGATGTTCTCTTTGATCAAGGATGGCCTCAGTTGTTCAGGGGACGACAACAGGGCTGTTTTGTGTTGGACAGCTTCCAAGTAGGTCTGTGTGTGAGCAGCCCCTCATACCCTTACAATCCCCCCCCCCCCCCCACATGCTTTGCTGTAAATAGAAATGGCATTGGTTTGCCTTCCATCAACACACAGTTATGTGATATAGTAGTTATGTCATAAAGATATATTCAGACTGTGTGTACTAAACCACAAACTGTAAATTTAGAAATCAAGAGGCGATATCTTAAAAGTATCTGGCATAAATAAGATCTCAGCTTTCCATAAAATGATGTAAAATGGAACGCATAATGCAGGTAAGATATGATAGATTTCTGCTTTCTGCTTTGGACAGATATTGTGAATCTTCATGCCTGATATACACTCACCGGCCACTTTATTAGGCACACCTGTTCAATTGCTTGTTAACACAAATAGCTGATCAGCCAATCACATGGCAGCAACTCAATGCATTTAAGCATCTAAACGTGGTGAAGAGGACTTGCTGAAGTACGAACCGAGCATCAGAATGGGGAAGAAAGGGGATTTAAGTGACTTTGAACGTGGCATGGTTGTTGGTGTCAGACGGGCTGGTCTGAGTATTTCACAAACTACTGATCTACTGGGATTTTCACGCACAACCATCTCTAGGGTTTACAGAGAATGGTCCGAAAAAGAGAAGATATCCAGTGAGCGGCAGTCGTGTGGACGAAAATGCCTCGTTGATGTCAGAGAAAAATGGGCAGAGTGGTTGGAGATGATAGAAACAGTAACTCAAATAACCACTCTTTACAACCAAGGTACGCAGAACACCATCTCTGAACGCACAACACGTGGAACCTTGAAGCAGACGGGCTCCAGCAGCAGACGGGCTCCAGCAGCAGAAGACTACACCGGGTGCCACTCCTGTCATCAAACAACAGGAAACTGAGGCTACAATTCGCACAGGCTCACCAACATGTGATAATAGAAGATTGAAAAAACGTTGCCTGGTCTGATGAGTCTCGATTTCAGCTGTGATATTCAGATGGTAGGGTCAGAATGTGGTGTAAAAAACATGAAAGCATGGATCCATCCTGCCTTATATCAACGTGTCAGGCTGCTGGTGGTGGTGTAATGGTGCGGGGGATATTTTCGTGGCACACTTTGGGCCCCTTAGTACCAATTGAGCATCGTTTAAACGCCACGGCCTACCTGAGTATTGTTGCTGACCATGTCCATCCCTTTATGACCACAGTGGACCCATCTTCTGATGGCTACTTCCAGCAGGATGATGCACCGTGTCACAAAGCTCAAATCATCTCAAACTGGTTTCTTGAACATGACAATGAGTTCACTGTACTCCACAGTCACCACATCTCAATCCAATTGAGCACCTTTGGGATGTGCTGGAACAGGAGATTGGCATCATGGATGTGCAGCTGACAAATCTGCAGCAACTGCGTGATGCCATCGCGTCGATATGGATCAAAATCTGTGAGCAATGTTTCCAACACCTTGTTTGCTGTTCTGAAGGCAAAAGGGTCCAACCCGGTACTAGCAAGGTGTACCAAATAAAGTGGCCGGTGAGCGTATACTAGGCACAACCTAACATGGTAATGTGAGCCACACTGTTAGTATTGGATTTATAATACCGCTGGAATCAATCACAAACTGAACTAGGCCAGTGATCTGTGTCTGATGACTACCGACAGCAAATACATATTATTAATATCCAACAGGTCTTTGATATTTAAAAAGACCTTTCCATTTTTCTGTGAATAAAAAGGTAGGTGAGGCTGAAAGCTGCAGTAATTGTACACTTGATTATTTTTTTCTGTAAAAATATAAAATAATGTACCTCCAGTCATAACTAAAATGTTCATACCTCAGCCAAAGTTTGCTGCAAGACGATGGCGACGGCCTGAAATCTGTTGTCACTGGCTGTCAGGAGCGCTCTGAGCTGCTGGGCGCTCTGGTCCTTCCTCCCTCCCTCGGCGACACTCGCTGGCACCACATCCGGAGCTCCACTACGCTGGTTTGGTTGGGACGCTTGCTGCTGAGGGTGTTGCTGGCGGGAGCTGGCCTTGGGTTTGCCGTTGTCCACTGTGAAAGAAAACATGTTGAGTGTTGTGACAACGTCAATAATCATCATCATAACCCCCCCCCCCCAATAACCGTTACAGCTGGTCCGACAGCACCACACCCACCCTATACACTCCCACTGTCAGGGTCACAGATGCAGCAAGCTCCAGCATCAAAGCTCTGGATCTCTCTGCAGGACGGAACTGTTCTTTCCAACCAGCTGGTCTGATGAGTCCCAGTGCTGCTGCTCCTCAGACAGACCCGACGTAAAAATGGATCCCCTGAATGCAATTAGTTTTCCATATCCTAATTCAATGTGGTGCTGTGCAGACACTGGTCACCAAGGACAACTTATTTTAGCGAGGCCGTGCTACTGCAGCTTTGATGTACATCAGCTTTATAAATACATCACCCCCGTAAAATAGCTACCATCAATCCTACTAATGAAGAACACTTTGTTTACTCCTCTACAACAGACACCAGAACTGAGGGACACGAAACTGACAAACTCACTACCACTGAGGGAGGAAAAGCACACCCGTGTGTTTCTTTGAAAGCACAGTTTTGTTTAAGAGGAGACTGGAGTGAGTGTTATGTAACACAGCAGTGAGTGTAGCCTGAGCCATATGGGGAAAACCAGTGAGTGGAATCTATTTTACCGCCTGTGGGGATACTCAATCAGCTGGTTTAGAGAACTGCTGTGGGAGCCAATCAAGATTATTCTGCAAAAAAAAAAAAACTAATATTGATATATAAAAACAAATAGACTTTACAAGTGAATTAGTCAAAGTAAAACCAGTGATAAAGTTACTATAAAAAGGAACTGTAAGTGAGTCCACTCAAGTGTGCTCCCCTAATACGGTGTAGGCACAACCCCAGCTTCAGTGTTTACAATCATGCCCTTTATACAAGACCTGGAGCATATTAGAGCTAAATTTGGATGCATCATAACATCCCAGAATAACACCAGCATGTAACTGTGGGATGTAGACATCTTTCAGAGCAAAGTAATGCTGCATTTAGCCTTTCAAAATAAAACCCCAGAGTATCTATTGGCAGTGAGGAGAAGGTTTTTAATCTAACCAGAGGAAATATCCTCCCTGCCTACTGTAGACGGCTGATCCAGGAGCTGCAGAGCAGCGAGCCCTGGCCTGATTGGGTCAACATAACACCCCAGGCTGGCTCAACACTGTGGCGACGGAGCAAAGCGAAAACCTATATGAGAGCATGATAATAAAAAGCCAGATCCATTTCCTCTGAATAATTCTATTCCACATTCATGCCAGAGGCTTGAGTTTACACAGCACCGCATCCGGGTGTGCTGTTCACCTCAAAAAAACGAGTTTCTCAGTGGCCTCTGTGTCTCAGAGCTAAAGTCAACTGCTCAGCATAAAAGACAGGCGCAGCCTTCAAGACAAACACAACAAGACACGCATTACTGTACCATTTTAAATGACTTTCACAATGTTTTGGCCTCTAATGCTTTAACTTTGTGAACAGTTTGACATGTATGTTCTAGAGCGTGTGAGATTATCAGACTGAAATCGAGCAGAAAAACAGATTTCCATTTCAGTGTCCTGGCTGCATTCGCCCAATTATTTTGAAACTGTTTTTTCTACCTATTTTTGTATCATGAGCATTAGTGCAGCATGAGAAATGTCAAAAGCGAAAACCTTTTTCTGATACATAGCCACACAAACAGTTCAACTGTGCTGCTCAGCTTTCAATTATTGTGATGATGTTGCCGTTCTCTACAAGGGTTTCCTTAAAGGAGGGGGCCCTCTGCTGGCTGTGCAAAGAGCAGGAAGGTGGAGCCATCTCAAGCACCATCACAGCCAACATGCAACACAAACAGGCCGGCAGAATGAAGCCAACCTCAGTGACGTACTCAGGCTGATGAGCTACTGCAGAGTGGCAGTATTGCATCATATTGTGGAAATATTAAATGTGTCTATGTGATCATGTAAACCAACGTGTACAATAAGTAGTTAATGTAATAGTTTTGATTTTTATATATGGGCTTTTTTTTTTCCCCCCACTGTGAAGCAAAATGTAGTTTTAGCTTTCACTCCTTTTATTTTTAGAAATACATTTCCTCTTTGGGCTGCCTGATGCGATTCTCATATGTAGTCACAAAACAGAACATATTCACACATGAGCAAATGTACAGTGGGTACGGAAAGTATTCAGACCCCTTTAAATGTTTCACTGTTTCATTGCAGCCATTTGCTAAAATCAAAAAAGTTCATTTTATTTCTCATTAATGTACACTCAGCACCCCATCTTGACAGAAAAAAACAAATGTAGAAATTTCTGCAAATTTATTAAAAAAGAAAAACTGAAATATCACATGGTCATAAGTATTCAGACTCTTTGCTCAGTATTGAGTAGAAGCACCCTTTTGAGCTAGTACAGCCATGAGTCTTCTTGGGAATGATGCAACAAGTTTTTCACACCTGGATTTGGGGATCCTCTGCCATTCTTCCTTGCAGATCCTCTCCAGTTCCGTCAGGTTGGATGGTGAACGTTGGTGGACAGCCATTTTCAGGTCTCTCCAGAGATGCTCAATTGGGTTTAGGTCAGGGCTCTGGCTGGGCCAGTCAAGAATGGTCACAGAGTTGTTCCGAAGCCACTCCTTTGTTATTTTAGCTGTGTGCTTAGGGTCATTGTCTTGTTGGAAGGTGAACCTTCGGCCCAGTCTGAGGTCTAGAGCACTCTGGAAGAGGTTTTCTTCCAGGATATCTCTGTACTTGGCCGCATTCATCTTTCCTTCAATTGCAACCAGTCGTCCTGTCCCTGCAGCTGAAAAACACCCCCATAGCATGATGCTGCCACCACCATGTTTCACTGTTGGGATTGTATTGGGCAGGTGATGAGCAGTGCCTGGTTTTCTCCACACATACCGCTTAGAATTAACCCCAAAAAGTTCAATCTTGGTCTCATCAGACCAGAGAATCTTATTTCTCATAGTCTGGGAGTCCTTCATGTGTTTTTTGGCAAACTCTATGCGGGCTTTCATATGTCTTGCACTGAGGAGAGGCTTCCGTCGGGCCACTCTGCCATAAAGCCCCGACTGGTGGAGGGCTGCAGTGATAGTTGACTTTGTGGAACTTTCTCCCATCTCCCTACTGCATCTCTGGAGCTCAGCCACAGTGATCTTTGGGTTCTTCTTTACCTCTCTCACCAAGGCTCTTCTTCCACGATTGCTCAGTTTGGCTTGACGGCCAGGTCTAGGAAGAGTTCTGGTCGTCCCAAACTTCTTCCATTTAAGGATTATGGAGGCCACTGTGCTCTTAGGAACCTTGAGTGCTGCAGAAATTCTTTTGTAACCTTGGCCAGATCTGTGCCTTGCCACAATTCTGTCTCTGAGCTCCTTGGGCAGTTCCTTCGACCTCATGATTCTCATTTGCTCTGACATGCACTGTGAGCTGTTAGGTCTTATATAGACAGTGTGCCTTTCCTAATCAAGTCCAATCAGTTTAATTAAACACAGCTGGACTCCAATGAAGGAGTAGAACCATCTCAAGGA